AGAAGGAGGACAAAGAAGCAATAAAAGTAGAAAGACACATGGAAGAAAAATCAGGCCATAGACTCTGGGAGAGGAGAAAGAGATGGGAGACAAAGTCTGGGGTGAGAGAAAAAATAGATGAAATAGTATGAGAAAGCACTCAAATTTTTACCTTCTTCTCTCTGACAGGACTCCTTCAGGTTTTTTAGTTTTATTTTTATTTTTTTTAGAAAGCCCCAAGCAATATAGGTAGCTGTGGCCCCTAAAACTCTGCACGGTCTGTGAGAAGCCTGCTGATTTCCTTTAAGGCCAGTTCTGAAAAACAATCCATATGGAAGGAGATCAAGACATCACCATGGTGGCCTGTGTTCTGGGAAAATAGATGCTGGGATCGCATTCCAGGAAAAGAATGGGATAGAAGGAATGAAATCTGATAAACACTGGTAGAAGCGGGAACGTGTATGGAGTTCACTACCCCCAGCTCACCCCGCCATGGAAACATAGAGCTAGGGGAGAGAAAATACTGCAGAAGAGGAAATAGAGTATAGAAATACTGTTGTAAGGGGGATAATTTTATTGGATTTAGACTAGAAAGATACAGTGAGACAATCAAATCAATCATCCCTGTTGCATATCCCCCAGCCCCAGGGGTCAAACTATAATTGGCACTAATAATGATAATCTTATTCCGTTTTATTAAGATGACTGGTTTTTAGATGGACACATGACCTAATTCTAGCCAACAAAATTAAGAAGTATGCTAGGGGGTCTCTGGGGAAGATTTTTCTCCGTGCTAAAAGAGATACATGTGTGAGAAGCTGCTCTCTCTCTCTCTGGTTTTGAAGACTTTATGTGAAGATGTGATACTTGAGCTGCAGCAGCCATTTGGGGCCGTAAGTCCACAAAGTTGAAGAAGAAGGCTAACAAGCTAAGAGTGGCAGAGAAGAAGGGTGAAGGGGCCTGGGCCCTGATGACCTTACTGAGCTGGAACCGCTAGCTCCAACCTCATTGTTAATAAAATTTCTTATGTTTGACTTGCTGTTCGCTAGATATTCTCTAATGTGCAACCAAATGCGTCTTAACTGGAATGGGTGAGCCTATATCTAAGCATCCTTTATCCTCCCAGAGCCTACCTAATGACATCTTTTCTTATTTCAAATTATTTTATGATCCTGGAATTTTAAAACTCTGACTATTTGCTTTGTAGAAGCTATGAAATCTTAGTGTTTATCTTACGATGGCTGAACTCGGGAGATTTCTTATGGTTCCAGTCAGTAGCTCTGGCACCAGGCTGTCGGGACGCCCCTCATTCAGGTTGGGGCTGCACGGACACTGCATTAGAAGATAAAAAGCAAACCTACTGGTTGAGA